CTTCCCCACTAAGAGCTGCTGTTAGGGACTGGGATTGAGTCAGTCTTGTAAAAGTGATAACATTAACTGATTGAGGTGCTTATATACAGTACCAGGATAAAGGGCACATTGACATAGGCAAAGAGTATCATAAGATAAATATTGCTAAGGGCAATTGAGTGGGGTATAAAAGCCTGGAAAAAGTGAGAAAAATCAGACCAATGCTTAGATGGGCAAAGGAAGAAACCCTGGCAGTGTGAGAGGAGGTAAGTATTATTGGAAATATATTTTCAATTTAAGAAAATGATAACTTTATTTTGAAATTTGTGTGAATACTTTTTATTTGTTATAAAATAATTTAAAATATTTAGTTAAAGTTCTCTGATCAAAACCATAAAAAATTTTACAATAGCTAAGAATTTGTAAATGCATAATACTTTGTAAAGTATGTGTTGGAACATTACTATCTGGTGAGGGAAGTCTATGCACTTGAAATGTGAAATTGTTTCTTTTCTCATAAATGTTAATGTTATTACAATTATTAATTGTCTTAATATCAAAGTCTAAATAATGTACTTCAGTGTCTGATATGGAAGTATTTTTGATGCAGGGTAAATGTTACCATTAAAATTACTGGATTATTAATACTCCTTAGATCATCAATACATCTGTATATCAAGGAAAATAAATATGGATTTGTAAAATGATTCATAAATTTATTTTCATAATAATAAAGATATAAATTAGTGACACAACTTGAATAATTAGCTCCCATTGGTATATCCACCATTTGCTTAAAAATGTGTTTATCAAAATAAAAATAATTATTATATAAACAAAAACTAAATATGTTTAATACTATTTGTGGTAAAGTTTGATTTTCTACTTTTACAGTACAACAATAAATTGATCTATAACAAATTTATCACTAATACCAAATCATTAAGTGGTTTATTTGTAAGATATGTAGTGAAATCTTATGTTTGAATTTATCTACTAATTGTATTTATTTCAGTTTTCTGGGGTTTTAAGGTAGGTACTTGTTTTTAATTATCCAAAAGTTGTACTTATATTTTATTGTATCTTAACAAATAACTGATTCAGTAATTTGCTTAATAAAGCCACAGGTTGTTTCAGTATAGTTTTTACTGAACTGTAAATAAAAAGAAATTTGATGGAAGATTTATGTAACTTTGGTATTGTGTATGATACAGTAATTCTAACATGGATTTGAATTAACATCAGATTTTCAGCAGCTTTCAAGAACTTGTTCATAATATCCTCTTTAAACTTATTTTACAGTTTAAAAGTTTGTGTGGTATTTATTTCATTGATTACAATATTTGCATAAAAACTGCTTCAGATAAAGCCAAAATTACAACTGGCTTTATTGATAGGAATAATAATATATTTCTCCTGTAATTTATGGATTTTAGTTTTCAGTTGAAAAAATGTTAAATTACTGGATATTTATTTAAATTAATAAAAGCTAATTTATCATTTATTAATCACATAATATGTCTATTCTTAAAACCAATTTGAAGGGTAATGTGTAGAATAATTAAGTTTCAGAAAATAATCATCCATGTTTTTCTTTATAGAATTTAAAATGTCAATTTTTTTTAGATTCTGCCAATCAGTGAGTAACAATCACATGATAACTTGTGTACATTAGTTAGATCTAAGTTATTTATAAAGTACTTATAATTAAAAAAAGTGGTCCTATTGGGATTTTATGTTTGAAACCAATAATATGTTTTAATTATTTTCTATTAAAGAATCATGAAAAACTTTAGAAATTTGTAAATCATTAAAAACTTTATATTTATTCATTACTATATATGATGGTTTTCTTATTGGTAATTCTTTAATTATATCATTCAAATTATTTACGTTAAGCCTAAATTTTATAATAGAAATTAAATGTTTAGCGTGGTTATTTTGAAAATTAAATTTAAATACAGATTTTCGTTAATGCTTTTAACTTTTAATCATTTAGTTTATGTATATTTTTGTAGAAATAACTATGAAGGTTAGCAAGTATATAAATCTTATTGTCTAAATCCGTACAAATAAATAGCACACAAACTTTTAAATTACAAAGTAAGCTTAAAGAGGATATTTATTAACAATTTGTCAAAAGCTGCTACAATATCTGATGTTAAGTCAACTTCGTATTTAAAATTACTATTATCTGTATGCAATACTTAAATTACATAAATCTTTTATCACATTTCATTTTATTTTTATTCAGTAAAAACTATTCTGAAACAACTTGTGGTGTTATTAAGCAAATTAATGAACCAGTTATTTGTTAAGATACAGCACAAATAAACATAATTTTTGGATAATTAAAAATAATGAACCTATCTTAAAAACTCAAGAAACTTAAATGCAATTAGCAGGTACAATTCAGACATAAGATTTCAGTACATTATTTACAACTACACCATTTAATGATTTGGTATTGATGTTAAATTCATTAACAGATCAATTTATTTGGTCTGCCTATAAAAGTAAAAAATCTAACTTTTACCAGTAATAGTATTAAACACAAAATAATAAGCAAATAGTGGGTATACCAATAGGAGCAAATTATTCAAGTTGTGTTACTAATTTATATCTTTATTACTATGAAAATAAATATATGAATAATTTTACAAATCCAGATTTATTTTCTTGATATACAGATATATTGATGATTTAATCAGTATTAATAATCCAGTAATTTTAATGGTAACATTTACCCTGCATCAAAAATACTTCCATATCAGACACTGAAGTACATTATTTAGACTTTGATATGAAGACAATTAATAATTGTAATAACATTAACATTTATGAGAAAAGAAACAACTTCACATTTCAAGTGTATGGACTTCCCTCACCAGATAGTAATGTTCCAACACAAAGTATTATACATTCACAAATTCTTAGATATTGTAAAAAATTTTATCAGAGAACCTTAACTAAATACTTTAAATGATTTTATAATAAATATAAAAAGTATTTACATAAATTGCAATATAATGAAATAAATGAAATTATTTTTTAAATATATTAGTGGGCATATAAATAATTAGAATTGCTTATTTGAACATTTTAATATCTTAAACAGGTAGAATAATGTAGTTGTATTACCTTCCCTTTATAAAACTTTGTTACTATGAAGATCTTTTTAAAGCCATTGGAGTGGTATTACTGGGAGATCTAGATAGTAACAGGAAAGGTTGGAGGAAGGGAGATATACTAAACACTTTAGGCTGCAGACAGTAAATATGTAGGATGCTGTTGGCTTTTTTGAAGCATGTGAAGCTAATGAAATTGAGGCTAAACTGGGTAGACAGTATTCCCGCAGTGCTATTTGGGACTTCCACTGGTACCTCAAAAACTGTATATATGATAAGCAAAATGCGATATATGCCATTCTCAACACAATTGAGTTACAAAGAGCCTTGCATTGAATGTGTTAACTGTTAAATAAAGGCAAGTACCTAAAAGTTATATTCTTGCATGCCTTTTATGGGACAATTCTTCATAGATATTTCAAAAATTCCACACCTCTATAGAAGCATAATGTAAGACATTGATCTGTTAGTTATTGTAAGCAATTTAAAACATGGTTGATATTATTTCATATTTCCTATATTACATATTTCTTCAAACAGTTTGAAGAATAGGGCAACAGAACATACCTTAATACAGGCACTTTTAATGTTTCTGTAAAACAAAATGTATGAACCATTTTGAAATCCTTTGCTGTCTAAAAATGAATCTGCTGCTTTCTTAACATATGACCTGTGCATTGATAGATCTTCAAACATCTAGTTATTGTAAAGCATTTGACATAAAGTCATATCTTTTTTTGTATATTAACATTTTACTCCAAGTGAAAGTATATTTAAAAGTGGAGAAAGTCTTTGTCATGAATGCATACAACACTTTGGTTTATTGTTAACAACTACAGCATGTGTATTAGTGGCATTTCTTGGATCTTTCTATTTGGGGATCGAGGGTGAAAAAGGGGTTAGAAAAAATAAACACTTTCATTTCAGTGAGAATCACAATGCAAGGAAAATTTAATAATCTTAAAAGACCAAATCCTAATATTTCATATGGGGGGAGAGAGCTATCCAATGGGTGGTCTGCCCCACATCATTCCAGTGAAAAACTGGATTAAAAACTGCTTGTAATAGCCTTAGATGACAAACTGTGTTCAAATTTATATTAAAGGTTATTGAGAAGTGGAAACAGTTGTGTTGTTAGTTTATGTAACTTTACCATACTATCCAATCTTAAACTATTAAAACTTGTATTCATGCAGAAGTAGAAGGTGAATTATATACCAAGGTATGTTACTCTTAACCTTCACAGTTGTTGAAAAGGCTTCTGTACTAATGGGTCATAAGAATCTTTTTATGTATCCTAAAGAAGTGTGAGCATCTAAACTCTGCAATAAATCGCCAACATTACTTGTAGTGTTTGAGTTTTAGTTGTGTTTATCTATTGATCACATTACGAAAGAAATCATTAAGGTGCACTATTTAGTTGCCTAGCCTCCCTTGTACAACACAGAGGAAAATACTGTGAAAAGTACAGTATCAGAAGATAAAGGGTTCAATCTTATTTTTGTCACTTTTTTAATAAATTACTTGTAACTTCTAAGACCAATTAAGAACACATTACCATTTAAATTTATCTTTCTTAGTAGGATTGTGTTATTGAATTCTTGTGGGTTATGCACATGATGTGAAAGAATAATGATAAGATTGAATATTCACTAGTATATAGTAATATTTTTCTATTGTTAAAAATTTCTAAAATGCAAGTTGTTTTTTTCTCTGTTTTTCTTAAAGTTGTACTATATATATTTAAATTAATGATTATAAATGTTATTCATTAGAATTTTTTCACACAATGCATAATGAGTTACAAATAAACAAGGGAAGCTATGTTCATTGTGAAACAAGAAAAAAGGGCAAATTAAAAAATTGTTTTCTGTTCATTCATGCAACAATTAGGCCCCAGTTGTCAGAGGTTCTGGCTCAGCTTGTCCTTCCAAAGCCTGGAGCCAGGTAAGCCTGTTTGCTCATAGTCTCTGTTTGGATGTTACATAATTGACAAAAGAAAAGTTTTTACTTTTATCTCTTTGTTTATACAATTGTTTTTTCTTCTTTCAATATCCTTCTAGTAATGTTCCTATTATATACTTCTTCAGTAATAGAGCTATTTGTGTATTTTTTGTTGTTACTACTTACAAGCCTATAAACTGTAACCAGCAGTAAAATTTAGTGTTTATTTAATTTACGTTTATGGAATTATTAAAAAGAGCTAAAAGATATATACGTTGCACATGTTTTCTAGTCTAGTGATGTAGTCAGTGCTAAAACTTTAAATATCTAATTCTTTACATTAATCTTTCATAACTTATCTGTAATAATAGAAAGACTATTATGAGAGAAAGCATACCCATTTGTATCAAGACATGTCTAGTTTTTAAAGAACGCTACTTATTTATTCACTAAATCTATCATATTCTGTAACAGCTGTACTTCCATACACACTTTTAGTGTTATATTTCTGTTTTCACAGGGGATATATGAACGTTGTGGTCTAGTGGTGGGCTGTGGACAAAAGGTTCAAACCTTGAGTCTAAGATATGCCATTTAACAAGTTCCATACTTTTGGGTTTCTGTGTTATGAAAAATTAACATAACATATCCACAATCTGCTTTGGAGTTCATAGGTTTTCGTTTGATTCACAAAGTCCCCAATATACCAATCAAGCTACCCCAATATCCCCAACTGCTTCTATAGCTACTCAAAGGAGGTAGGGGGGTCCATACCCAAAAATCATCATTATTAAGAATGTTTGCCTGCTTGTGGTACATGAGCACGTGTGCCACATTTGGTCTCGCTAGCTTATGAGTGAGGGTTTGAACACAATCTCGAACATAGCTCCAATAGGATCCTGAGGGAGGCCAAGAACACAAAATCAAATATCAGATTCGGGTTCAACAACCCTGAAAACCTTTTGAGCACGTTTTATTCCTCCTTGGTAGGAGACCTATGCAATGTGAATAAAGGACATCCCTGGGCCGCCCCAAATCAGAACTGTCAATTTTGGTCCTGCTAGTTCCAAAAGTATGGGAGAAGTTTACAGACAAACACAACGTAAATTAATATATAGTAATAGGCAGCGGATGCTGCTGACTGGTTGCCATTCCTCTGGTCAGCAGTTCAAAGTTAGAGCCAGATAAAGAAATCTTGGAGTCTCTGACCTGGCCGTTTAGTTCATGTTTCGCATAATGCGTCGTTCAGGTTGAAAATACCAAATACAAAAGGGGATATCTAGTCTGTGAAAATGTGCTTTATTCAGTGTTTCTCAACCTTTCACAATATCATTCACCCCTATAAGTTTTTCGCAACAATTCACTCACCCCAGTTTGAAAAAAGACAAAAAATAGTACTATCTTAAAATGCAAAATTCTTTATTATGACTTAAATATACATGAAACTACCACTAGAATGAATACAACATATAATAAACACAATATAAATGTATTCGTCAAACTACAACTAGAATAAATAATAATAAAAACTAATGACTTTTTTTTTGCTCTAAATGTGTTGTATAATTGATAATACTCATTCATCCCGTCATTCTCATTCACCCTGATTCTGAGAAGCACTGTTTTATTGTTCACCATACTTGATCAAATTCACAGCTGTCTAACAAGTTGAGTAACTACTCTGTTTTACTCATTCGCATATGTATCAATATCTGAAATCACACAGATGTGCCTGTGCTTAACTCCTCCTTAAAACTGGAAGGGCTAGTTACATATAATATCGCACAGTGTTTATTAAGCCTCCCAATACAGGAATAGCGGCGGCTGCATGACCTCCAGCAGGGAAGTGACTCTGGAGACATGCCAGGTGTACGTGGACGTGATACGAGTCCCAAGTCTGTTATACTTTGTCTTTTCTTAGGATATTATTGATGTAAATTATTCGTTTTTATCTTTATTTGGCCTCGACAGCGGGTAAGAAGTTTTGTAACCAGTGTGCCTTAAGAGTCTGTATACTTGTTGCATGTTTGTGTCTTCACACACACACACACACACACACATAACTATTTCACGTGCGTTTGAGCATTTTTTTGACAACACTTAGGCGTAATACAAATTCCTACTTACGTTTTCAAACTGTTTGTAGATTTTCTTAAACTCATAGCACCGTTAAAATGTGTACATACTAAGAAACACCAGTATCGTAAGTGTTAACTTGGTTTTGCCATTATTGGTTCTCTGACTGATCAACTCTTGTAGACAAATAAATATGAAATTCAATAGGTGTACTACTTGTTTTCGCGAGGTTGAATCAGTTTTTTTAAACAGGTTAATTACAAAGTTATTTAGGTTAACTGACAGGTTCATTACTAAAGTCTGTAGGTTAACTAGTCAGTTTTTTTTTTACCAGGAATTACGAGAATCTTCAACACTATAAGATTACATTATTACACAAAACTGCTGTAAAATAATACATCATACTGTGTTAATAAAGTAGGACATCAGTCACTGCATAGCTTGATCGTTTTGTATGTTTACCTTTTATTAATATCTGACACTAAAGCGTAAGTTAATTTTATATGACATTCAACATTAAACTGCTAAAAATAGGAAAAGATTGAAAATTGAATTGTCACTCCCAGTTGCTCTGTCTGACATTAAACTCAGACTGGCCAGGCTACTACCTCAAAAGCAAACTCAAACGTCTCATTAGCAGAACATCACATAACGCTGTCCGTAAGCTTCATCAATAACCCTAACTTATGTATGTTTAATAATGATAATTAAAAATACTTCTAATTCTTTGTGAATAAATGCTTATATTTCTAATGTTCTAAATCACTTCGTAATTGCTTTTACAACCATATGTATAATTATCTACATTGTGTACTTTATATTGTTACGTCTCTGGCCGTTTGTTAATTTCCCGTAAAAATTCTTTCCGAAGAACTTCAGCGATACAAGTATTCTTTCTTAAATAAAACTAGTTTATTCTTTCTCAATACAACTTTGCAATACACTTAATTTCCACAGTAACTTTAACTTAAACACACGCTATAATTCACAACGATTCACGCACTTTACTTACGATCACTACCGCTCACTTGACTCAATTATCTGTCTCTCTATCTCTCTATATGCAATTATTATTTCCGCTTTATTTGCCGGGCTTATATAATAAAACAGAGGGCGCCTAGAAAAGACTAGAGTTGCCAGGAACAGTCATGATCCTTCTAGAAACTCCAGCGCTCATGCTTCCACAGTCACGTGACTTCCGCTGTCGTAACAGTATTATAAGCGCCAACTTTCACGTTTCCCGAGAGGGGTAGTATGCGTAACGACTGAGACTGTTTCAAAGCGCGTATCGTTGACCAAATATAAACAAATACACATCAATTTAAAGTTTTGGACCTTTCCACCAATTCTACACCACTGAATACATCTTACAGTGAAAATTAATAATATAGATATTGCATTTTTCCACGAGGGCTAGGACCGCAACCGCTTTCCATTACCTAGTTGGCGCCTGTGCTTCATTCTTATAGGTCATATAAACTGTAACTTAGCTACAGTAAATTGTATACAGTATGTACTCCTAACGGCCCTTGAGCTCTTTACAGTGAAATATCACCACATGTTAAATTTCGTTGAATTTGTTTAGCACATCTTAATAAATTTGGACTACACCTTCAAGTCCGTACGAGCCCCTGGTGACCACTTATTTTTGTAAGAACATAAATCAAAGATCAGGGATTGTGATTCGTACTACTAGAACAGCTCTAACGGCATTAACAGAAGATGCACCTTTTAAATTAGTATCCGCTGGGAAAAATACGCGGAAAACCGAGTCATTTTCTGGCAGTCATAATAATATATATACATTAAAGTTATCACAAATATTAATATTCTAGGTGCATTATATTATTTTGATGATATACCAGTCACTATATGTTATTATTTTCTGTAATATCCCGATACTTCATCAGTTTAGAAGCTCCTTTGTTGACGAAGAGCTTATTTAAACCTCGTCTTTATTACTCCGGCCAGAGATCCTCGCTTATAACTGCATTGTTGTCATACTTTTCACAGTTTCTTTAAATCCTTAGATTAATAACTGACACACCGTAGTAAAAAGAGACCCGTTTTGGATTGGATAATTAAATACCCGATGAGTACTTGTGTCGACTTCTATTTTAAGTCTTCTTATAATGTCTTTTTTTATATATAAAAGGCGCAAGTCAATACTTTTGCTTTCGCATTTAATTAAAGGCGTTACTTTTTTTGGTAGTTTCCGCACCAATGGCCAGATGGTTAGGGTGCTCGACTCGCAATCTGTGGGTCGCGGGTTCGAATCGCCGTCACACCAAACATGCTCGCCCCTTCAACCGTGAGGGCGTTATAATATGACGGTCAATCCCACTATTCGTTGGTAAAAAAGAGTAGCCCAAGAGTTGGCGGTGGGTGGTGATGACTAGCTGCCTCCCCTCTAGTCTGACAATGCAAAATTAGGGACGGCTAGCGCAGATAGCCCTCTTGTAACTTTGCGCGAAATCCATAACAAACAAACAATCCGCACCAAAACGTTAACGCGAGTTTCGGTAGTTAATGTCAAGTAATATAAATAGATCAGTAATGCTTGGGGACGGCTTGAATGGGTAATGAAGAAAAACTTTAATATGAGTTTAACATAACGACAAGGTTTTGTCATCGAAACGTTGTACATTTGCTGTTATGTTAAACTTATATTAAAGTTTTTCTTCATTACCCATTCAAGCCGTCTCCAAGCATTATTAGTCTCAACGTGAGTTTCTCGTCATCAAAATAAATAGACCGTTCGTTAGAGAGAAGTTGACAGTGTGAAGTGGCTTTTTTATAAATGTTTTTGTCAAAGCTGTTAGTGACAATTTGTCTTGCGTCGCTGACCACAGGACAGTACCGGGATGTGTTTCACATGTATCTATAATATATTAAATGTGGTAAAAGACGCTACTTGTGTACAAGTC